CCTTTGGTCCTACCCTCCCAGTGAAATACAGACAGGGACTGGGATTCACATGAGTTAGGCTGGCTGAGGGCAGCACTGATGTCTATCCTATATGTCCGTATAGACAAAGGCTGATACAAGCAGCCCAGATTTTTAGATCATAGAATCATAGAGTCATCTGGGTCGGAAGGGACCTTAAAAGTCATCTAGTCCAACCCCCCCACAGTCAGCAGGGACACCCCCAACTAGACCAGGTTGCCCAGGGCCTCGTCGAGCCTCGCCTTGAATATCTCCAGGGATGGGGCCTCAACCACCTCCCTGGGCAACCTGTTCCAGTGTTCCACAACCCTCATAGTAAAGAACTTATTCCTAATGTCTAATCTAAATCTGCTTTTCTCCAGTTTAAAGCCATTACCCCTTGTTCTGTCATTGACAGCCTTTGTAAACAGGTTCTCCCCAGCCTTCTTGTAGGTCCCCTTCAGGTACTGGAAGGCAGCTATTAGGTCTCCCTGGAGCCTCCTCTTCTCCAGGCTGAACAACCCCAGCTCCCTCAGCCTGTCCTCATAGCAGAGGTGCTCCAACCCCCCCGGTCATCTTTGTGGCCCTCCTCTGGACCCGCTCTAACAGGTCCATACCCTTCTTATATTGAGGGCTCCAGATCTGCGCAGTAAGGTACAGTTAAACTGGCTTGACAAATGCACTGACATCTCTTGCATGTGTGACAGGCAATCCAGTAGACCGTCCTGTTGTTGAAATTCCTGTGCATCTGATTTCCATTGAGATGCCTTCCAAACCTGTTTACCTGGCTGTGTGGCTAGTGATTGTTACTTTTGGCAATCAGCTAACTACACTGCCTAGTAACTAGGCTGCTGTGAGAGACAGTTCCTTTTCAGCTCCTACTTGGATGAAGACTGGGGTTTTGTTAAAAAAAAAGCAGCAGGTTCTAGCGCTACAAAGTATTTTCTCCGTTACTAAAATTCCTGAACGTTAAGCAAAGTAGTCAGAGTAAAAAAGATTTCTAGCATACAGTGAGTTTAATATTTAATCATTGGTCAAAACCCCCTCCACATACTAGCTTGGTAAGTAAGACGTGAAAGCTGGATGAAAATTATTTTCCTAATACCCGACAGATAAACTGAAAGGTACAACCAAAAAAATTCTTAGTCCAATCCTGGTGCATAAACAAATAAGTATAAAATAAGTCTTCATGTGGCTAAGCAATTTAAACACAACAGGCAGCAGTCTTGCTGCAGGAAAGTTCCCAAGACTTAGCACCAACTTCAAGAAATCTAAGGTTTCACTTGATATTGGCCACATATACCATACACTTCTGTCAGACAGCTAAAATTCTGGAAATAAAGCTGCAAATGAATTAACATTATTAATAACTTTACACTAGGAATAAGGATGTTGTAAGGAAGTTTTGTAGTGCAGTTTTCCGTGCTGAGGCTGTAGCAGGGAATCCTGTGCCTTGTTTTGATGGCAGTGAAGTTAGTGATTGTGAAGCAGTGGATACAATCAGCTAACTACACTGCCTACAAACCAAGCACTACTCTTGTGATGGTGTCATGGCGTTCAAACCTAGAAAAAAAAGAAAGTACCTCCAATAATTATATTAACATACTCTGTCTCCTCAAATGCTCTTATAATAACAAGCAGTTGACAATAATGGAAAATGTTGCTTCTGTCGCCCTTACCGTTATTCTGCTAAAGCCAAAGTCTTTAATAACATCACAAATTAATTGTTCCAAATAATTGAAAACTGCAGTGGATGCATCATAACCATCATTTCTGGAGTAAAAAGAGACAAAGCAATGAAATACTAATGGGAAGTGAGAAAAGCCTTGGCATGCAGTTCTTGCTGCATGAATGCAGACTAAGTGGTAGCTGTGTTGAGAGCTGGATGTGCAAATGCAGCTGCAAATTTGGACCAAGACAAAATGTTCAACATGAATAACCTTCTACCTGGTTTACAGCATATCAGCTGTTAGTGTTTATGTCACAGTGATCCTACTTATCCTTGTTGTCTCGTTGAGGCATTTGAGTTAATGTCCTACAGCACCCATTTTGTGCAGTTTCATTTGAAGTTTTTCGGAAGAAACTGTGTGTAACTACAGCTGCAGTAAGAATGGTAGAATTTCACCAGTTCCCTGAACTTCAGAAAGCCTTTTTTTTTTCCAGAAAAATACAGGAATGCAGATCATGCTGGTAGTCAGATGTCAGTCTGCTCAAACCTTTTGCACTAATTTGTGGTAGCTAAAGAAATCAGCAAATCTGTTCAGCAGAACAGAACTGAATGTGTGTAAGTAGTTATAATCAATTATGCCTTGTGTCTAATACCTGTATATGCAATTAATAATGTGATAAAAATATCTTATGTAAATTTATCAGGCCATTCCTAAATCAGGAGTGAGACAAAGTCTGTGAGGTTACAAAGATAAGTTTGTCGGCAATTTTGCTAGCTTACACCCATAAATGCCTTATTGTTAAAATGCATAAAAAGAATTCAGGACTTACCCCCAAGAAGCTTACCTTGTAATAATCCTGATAAAGACTGAATTAATAATAAAATGCTTAATAAGATTTAATGGAAAGGGAAAACCGACTAGCTTCTTCACTCCTCATTTTCTTCCCTTTCCCATGGCGAGCACAGCAACCTATTCACTGAGCAGCCAGCAGTCTTCCACTGGCAGACATGCCTCTTGAGATGGTTCCTTAGGTGGTCCCTGGGTGCCCCATCTCTTCCCCTGGGACTCCTGGGTTGGAGTGTCCCCAGTCTGGGCTGTGGGTCAGCCCCATGCCTGTAACCTTTGTGTACGCTCTGTCGTCATGGTCACTCACCTGAGGCTTGTGCATGGAGACTGGACTGTTGCTTTGAAACATGCAGATGGCTCTTGCCATACGAAGCTTTGTTTCAAAATAGGTTTCTATGGGCAAAGTCAATAGGGAAGCACACATGGAGTTTCTGCCCTGCTTCTGTGGACAAATGGCTACAGGTTGTGTCACAGACGCCAAAGGTGATCCAGGCTTTAGTGTCACATGCAGCAGTTCAGACACACGCTTCTAGGCTCATAGCTGGATACTGGGGCTTCAGCCTGGTCTTATTCATGCCAGGATTGTAGCTGCCATAGAGGAAGCCCCCGAAAAGACAGACTAACAGCTCAAAAGAGTGAATGTCTTGTGCTCCTGCAGTGGGAGGCACACGCTGCACATCTTCACCCAACAGTGACCCACACCACCTTTCTCCCTATTTCTTGGGGGCCTAGGCAGTCATTTCTGTATGCTGCTCTTGACCTGTTGAGCTCATTGCAGTCCTCACTCCCTTGCATTTCAGGTCTTGTTTGTCTAAGTAACCCTTTGCTCTTGTCTTCCTCACAGTCAGCACCTACACAACCCATCCTGCTGCCACTTATGTTTGGAGGGGCGGATAAGCCCGTATGGATTGGTACAATGCTGACTGTCCCCACTTTACGCTGTCCTTTGCTCCATGCTAGCCACACTGGCAACCCAGGCATAGCAGGCGAAAAGACGTTTTGTGCTCTGCATTGCCCCTTTTGTATGGGAAGAACTGCAAGAGAAAGAAAACATGCTCCTCCCTGCCATGTTAGCAACAGTCAAAGGTGTAATTCTGTGACCCACAAGTGCTGTAAGAATAAGACTTTCCAGACCATCTAGTGATTTGGGTTATCTAACTGACCTGAGATGCGTTTGAAGGGCTTGTCCTTTAGAAATTTCTGGGCAGCCCACCCTCTTTGAGAGCTACATGCATCTATAAGGATCATGGAAATTGTGTCCAGCTGGATGGCTCAAATCTCTTGTCCCCATGAATTGCAAAGTTTTTCTCTTCTGCAAAGGAAGATGGCAGGTCACAGAATGAGGGCAAAAGCAGGTCCTGAAATCAACTGTTACAGATGGAGTTTCGAGCCAGAACATCTTCCATAGTTGTGGAATGTACCTCCTTAGCTGTTACACCTTATCTCCTGTATATGCCCTGCATGACACTGTTTTATCACACCATTGTGGTTTGCCTGCTTACCTGTGTAATATGGGTGTTCTCACAGACCTTGTTTGAAAGACCTTTTACATCAGCGAGTGTTTTCCTTGGGCACGAGGCTCTTCCTGGTCAGTGTACTTAGCACGGTCATACTGTCGTGTGCTTTGCATAATAAAGACCGGTACTCATAGTAAAATCTTTAACCAAAAAAATCATTTGTAAGTACGTATCGCTTAGGTTTTTACAGGACACTCATTGAGTAACTTAGTAATCAAGAAGAAAACCTTAGTCAGAACACGCTTCGTTTCTGAAATACCTATTGTTAAGACCTTTCCTCAGGCCCAGAAAGCTTCTACTTAAGTAAGCTGAAAGGGAAAAATTTGTGAACAATCAACATATTAAAATTTTGTGTTTTAAAAAACTTTTTAAAAGTTTGTGGCTTTGATTGGAATCAGTTTCTGCCTTGTTTCGGTCAAAACGAACTCTGCACAGACACTGCACAATTTCAATAAAGGTGCAAGTTTTTAACATCCACATATGAGATTTCTTCTGCGGTCTGACATAATGGCATAGTCAATTGAGTTGGTGCTGTGTTCATGCAGCACTACCATTGCTTGTTCGTTGTTGTTACATGATACTTCTGAATGCTATCAGGACAGTATATAACCTGACAAAGCAAATGCAAAGTGCTTTTCTCTAAGAAAGAAGATTGTCACCTAGGATGTTTTTCCATATGGAAATAACTCAGGCTTGTTGATTTTTATATCAATAGTTATGAACTTCAGCTG